GGGCGGGATGACCTACTTTCAACGGACGCGCGCAACGGTTNCAGTGTCATCAAGTGACAGTGTCGAAGTACTGCCAGTTCAGTACAGTAGAAATCGGAGTTTGAAATACCCACTTCACTCCATATTACTCACTTCCCTCCGCAGTGCTCACTTTCTCCATTGACCTACCCACAAAGTGACTGCTTTGTATATAAGAAGGATAACTTTTCCATATCACTACCTTTATCATAATCACAAAGTAACCCGGACGGACAGACCGACAAACCGACATACCGACAAACCGACAAACCAAGTTACTGCTTTATATATAAGAAGGATAAGTAAAAAGGACTGAATCACAATCGGGTTGGCATGCTAACATTATGTTAGCAACCTCTGCTGGATTTTGGCCAATGCTTGAAGGCCTTTCTTTGGCGTACCGGCGTGGCAGTTTTTATCCTGGAGACATAAAAATGACTTATTGAAACGTCTCTTCTCAGGTACTTTCATACTACACCGGATAGGGGTGGCTCCGGTTACGACTGTCCGACGAAACACTAATTTACAGATTTACCGTAACAAAAAAGTGATCAATAAAAACAGCCTGAAGCAGAAGATCTAGCAAAAAAACAGAACAGCGGGGAAGTTCAGCCGTAAAAGAACTCGTCACTTCGGCTAATTATCTCACGAACCACAGAGGTTCGTCCCACCAGCGCTCACTAAGAGAGCTAGAATTATGGGGGAGTCTCAGGGCTCGAAGTCAACAAGCTCTATGGGGGTTAGGGGTTGGCGGCGGGTGACGATCCTAATGACGAACTGTCCCTCTCGAGGGTTGCTTCTTATACAGTTTTTCCCGCGCCTCTTCTTTCCTCAGGCATGTTTACTACTGCGCCTCTCTCTGATCACCAGATCATCTGATCATCATCGACCCATCGGCGTATTGATCTTCAAGGGCGGTTCTTTAGCGGCCCCCCCCCCTATGCGGTTCCTTCTGTCCCGTCCTGACACTTTTTCTTTCTTTCGAAATCTCCTCTCAATTGAAAACATCCTCTCAATTGAAAACACTGTATACTGTAAAAACGCATCATCTTAGACTGTTAGACGTTCTCGTGGTCATCGGCGATGAGAGGCTTTGATGATGAGAGCTGTTTTCAGCGAATATGTTCCTTTATATTGAGGCCTTGTCCAGTGTAATCAGGAATGTGAGAGCCAATTTTTTTGTGCTGCCTGGGATAGGATAACACACGGCTGTGCCTATCACGGACATGATTAGGGCGTGGAACAACGCATTAGTCACATCTTACCTTAAGATGTGATAAGATACGTATTACGTAGTATGTTTGTAGGGGTTCACAGCATCGAGAAACGCGAATCGGACGTTGGGTGATATGAGAAGAGCTGAAGAGATCAAGGATATGGACCCAGTATCGGTAAAGGTCCGTAAAGATGTGATTAAAAATGAATTTTTTAAAGTTTATTGATCGAAATTAAGGTCCGTGATTGGGCAGAAGGTAAGCAAAAGAACATAAGGGCACTTCTTGGCTCGTTGAATGATGTCTTGTGGGAGGGTGCGGAGAAATGGCAGCAGCCGTCAATGGGAGATTTGCTGAGTGCAGCACAAGTTAGTTTTTTGTTTATAAAGGCTATATCTGTATGGATTGCGTTTAGCTCGTCTCATTGTACGTGAAGTGGTCTTGCGATGAAATATTGACAATTTGAGGTAAAACGAAGTTACTTCAAAGCGTGTCTGGTTGTGCACCCGGACAAGCAAGTTGGTGAGCCACATGAGCAGCTTGCACAGGCGATCTTCACAATGCTGAATGAGGCATGGAATGCTTTTGAGCAGAATAGTAGCGAATTAGTATAGGTTGTCTTATTTGTCCAACCTCGGGCTTCCGTTGCTTATATTTGCATGTATGCATCAGTAACTATTAGATCCACCCACCCATCTCCGTACGAACGCTGAATGCGATGTTTTCCCTTGTTTCTTTAGTGTATCTACCTATTGTCTATCTTCGTCCGGGTTGAATAGATCTTGTCGTGTTATATGCTGATTTCCTGTGGACGTATATTATATTAGGTATGAAGTGCGTGTCGTTCTTGGACACCTATGCAAATGCAAGGGTTACTACGGTTTCGCCGTTTCCGTTTATGGTGCAAGATTCGATATTCGTATAGGGTGTACTTTCAACCCTTAATATTTATTTATCATTGCTAACGATAAAATTTGTAGGAATTGTGCAGTTTACGTACCAGCACCAAGGGCTCCATACCCTTTGTAGAATATGGCCACTAGCGCTTTGGTATCGCAGTCCCTCACATCCCAACAAGATATACCATCTTGCAGTTGCACAGGGCATCTTTACATGACCTTTACCATGACTGAGCGTCTCAAATTTGTGGGCGCCTATTTACTGCAATATTTCTGAAGCTTATAAGTTGAGAATGACAATAGAATCTATGTGCATGTTAGCTTGAATTATGTGCAACAACAAACTACAATCATCTTCCAAGGTATCTCCTCGCACGTTGCGCGTGGGTATTCGCTCACCAGCTCCTACCATTTGTTTCTAAGCCTTGCTTTCAACATACAAACTAGGGATGCAAAGCAGACAAGTTCTATCTTATCCAGTGAGCATGCTGAGTAGTCACGTTGGTTGAAATCTGAATAGTAGGATGGCCATTTCTCTATGATTATGAAGTCGGGCAGATCGCGTCGGCACCACTCTTGGGCGAGCTTGGCTCTATGCGAAGAAGTGCCGTCCTGCTAAAAGGACCACGGGCTGTTACAAGACGGAGTCTGATTAGCCCTTCAATACGCCTATCAGCATGTTCCTCATTTGGTCGTCTCTCTCAAAATTTACCAACGAAACCAACGGCGTCTTACCATTTCCCGTGACTCTCTTATTAAACATCAGTTTGCTGCACTTATAAGAACTTTTTCGTAAGAGATTGCGTTTCTGCCGGTTTTAGCCAGAACGCAATCGGTTTTTTTGTTGAGAATTGGATTGTCGTGGAAAATTTAGTGAGAAAAATTGGTGAAGGGATGTGTTCCACTCGAATGAGTTTGCAACCAATCGCACTTCCTGACCATGCACCGTCTGCTGTGATCGGAGATGATCTGCGTACGATAGGAATGGCCAGAAACCTCCGTTGCCGTTCTTTGGATGGGTCACGAACATGATCGGCTTGTGCGAACTATTTTACAGAAGTCTCATATTCGGAAATCCTGGCCCTTCAGCCCCTGCCGGGTTCGTCTTTGATTGTTTCTGTTTCTCTGTGTCATTTACCAGCCTTCTGTGTTTGAAGTATTGGAATTACAAGAAATTTTACAATGCCACTCCTCCTCTAGCATGCCAACGATTGCAGGTGGTAGCATTGAATGCGCAGCCGTCGCATGCGACGCGTCAGCCCGCGATCTCTGTCAAACGTCGCAGTTGTCCGTAGGGCATACGGTCTGCGCTTGGTCCACAGCAGTCAGCCAAAGGGAAAATATCACGGACAAATGCAAATCATTCGCTCCACTGACACTTGGTTTTACCGTAATGTCATGTCAAGACCTCCGTTGGAGTGCGCCGCGCGCGGAGTGGGCGGGATGACCTACTTTCAACGGACGCGCGCAACGGATGCTTGAATTGATCCTTTACCATCTGAAAGATATTGGGAGTCCCACCACACCTCAGTTTCTATGCAAATTGCAAGACAATTTATTTGTGCAACTAATTAATGGCGACTGGAAGAAACCGAATTATTGTTGCCTTAGAAATTTCTGAATTTTGACGGCCATAAATTTGGGATACCCTGTGCAACTCTTCGGAAGGTTCCATGTACGAAGAATGCTCAGACGTTCTGCGATGACAATCTATATATTCTCGCAATTACCGCCATGTTTCAATGGAATATATCTCCGATTGTCGGGTTAGCATGAGAATAGGAAGTCCACATTCAGAAAAGATTGCAACGGGCACAAAGTACATAGATAAATAAATAAAACCAAAGAGTGCTTCCGGCTAGATGGTCTAGTAGGCATTTGTTTTTTGAATACTACCATGCTGCTAAATCATAATGCTACGTTGTTTACCTTCATCTGTGTTTGCTTTTTCAGTTTGTATGTTTATGTTATCTAACTAGTCAAGTTTCTGTAATTAGCGCACTAACGAGTGCATAAATAAATAAATTTTATGAACGATTGTAATTGAAGAGGAAACGTTTCCCAATAGCTAAAGGTTGGAATGAGTGAATTCATACCAGTGATTACTCGATTACTAATTCTAGTGAGCGCTGTCGAATAAATAAAGTGGCCGAAAAATTCGGAGCAGATGCAAGTTGTCCGAAATCGCTGTACGATAGTGTAGTGGTCACGTATGCCGTTATTTGAAATCGCAATACAATAGTGTAGTGGTCACTATAGTCAATATTCGGACTGAAATCTATTTTGTTTTCCCAAACAATAAAGTTTCAGCCAGTTAGTCAGAAATCCTTCCAAGGCAGAAATCTGAATACCAGCACTCTTGTGTACATTTGCCAGTTTCGATCGTCTGTCTTGATCAACTCTTTGATGACAATGGCACCCACCAGTGGATGCCAAAACGTATTCGAAAACTTCATGTTTATCAAAAAACTTTGTGGTATCTACTATATTCATCATATTCCGTATGAATNTTTTATAATAGCTTTTTTTCAAACATATATTGCCAATGGAGTACTACTGAAGAAATCGGGATCCTTCGCAGGGTTTATGTCTGGTCCTGTAGAAGCCGTAATTAGCAATCATATGAACACCCGTCGGTCTCAGAGCACAAACTAATCCTCCCTTTTTACCTTTTCTTTCTTTTTTCTTTTCCTCCCATGATTGCAGAATAAATGAACTTAAAATTCTTTTTTGCGGATTGCATTTTCCAAGCATTTACATCGTGACAACACCGAAGAAACTTCTTTGGAGGTGTTATTTCGTAGAAAAGCTAATCGAGTAGGAGCTTATAGTAGAGGATCGTAGTGATCGTAATCGTGACGGTCTTCATATCAGGTAGATGTTACAGTCAAGAACCAGCAGGCACCAGGTATTCCTGCGTACGCCTTCATACCAAGCAAAGTCCACTAGTGTATACCTAAGGATAGGGACCTATTGAGTGCTTTGGTTTTCTGAAATGTCAAACATTGGTAATAATGGCTATTGTAAACCTAGAAATGGAACCGTATAGAAAACATAGTAGCAGTTGTCATAAAAAAGGTATACATAAAAGCTCTCTAGGCGGTGCTCTCATGTGATACAGTGCGTTTCATAACTATAAGGTCACCCTCAAATTTTGCACTTCCAGAAGGACAATCATTTAGGGTTTTTTCTAGCGGATCCCCCAGCACGAATAGCCTAGGTATCCAATTTTTAGCAGCGGCTGCGTTTTTCTGAACTTTTTTAGGACAGTTCATCGGTTTTTGCACCGTTTCATAATTATAAGGTCACCCTGAGAAAGTGAACAGTTATTCATGGAAGAGAAGAAATTTCGCCGATACTTATGAAGGTAGACATATGTAGAAAATACATCTCTAAACCTGACTGTCAATATGGCTCGTGATCGTCTGCTTTTCTCTGATGAGAAGACTCAAATTCAGGCTCTTCATGAAGCTGGGCTCGTAAGCGAGCCATCTCTAGGCAGAAAGGGAGATCCCTCCGGTCCATCCAAAGATTTCTGGAACCCTGATGTCCTTAGATGTAACACCAGCTGTGGGCGCCCACGCAAGGTTACGGCCCGTGACATGCGGAGATTTTGAGATTGTTTTCAACAGTACGACTCCTTGAACCAGGTCCGATCGGAATTTAACCCCTCTGTGTCGAAAACTACAGTCTGGAGAGCAGTAAGAAAATGCGAAAACGTCACCAGGCAAGCAATAAATAAGACGCCGCGAATCACCGATCGCACAGAGAGGCTCGATTCGAATTTGCATAGATGAACCTAGGCAGAGATTGGACAAAGGTAGGTCTGCATCAAAATCTCAATATACACCTGAATGATTTCCATTCAGGTGGCCTTTTCGGTTGAAAAGAATTTCATCTTGGACGGTCATGACGGAAACAAGTACTACCGGCGCGACTCGAGGAAGGAACCGGTCTACTTCAGCCGTAGCGATTTCGGTGGACAAAGTCTTACAGTGTGGGGTGCATTCTGCAATGATGCGTGTTGATTTAACCTTCGTGAGCTGCAGAATGGATTCCAAGGATTTCCAGAACGTCGTGGAGCATCCTCTAGTTCCATTTCTCAGCCGTCGCTGTCACCTCATTATGTCTTTCAACAAGACAATGCCTCCATTTACGTGAGCTGTGCAACGAATGAGTGGCTGCAATGCGAAAACATAAGGTCCTGCTATGGCCAGTCTGCAGTCCCGATCTCAACCCGATGGGAAATATCTGGAGCGTAATAGTCAGTCAGGTTTATGCGAATAACCATTAGTTCTAGAGCACAGAAGGGCTAAAGCGGACGATTATTGAAGTATGGAGAGCAATCGATGAGGAACATCTTTGAAACCTAGTTTCTAGCATGCCACGCAGGCTCTTTGATGTTGCTCTTAAACAGTAAGAGCTATAGATTATCAACTGTTGTACCAATGCCGTCAGCATTAATAAATCATTCACTTTCTCAGGGTGACCTCATATTATGAAACGGTGTAAAAACCGACACTATCTTTAAAAAATTCATAAAAGAGTTGATGTGAAGGGTTGCAACCAAAAATTTAACACGATGTGCATTGTGATTAGGAATCTGCCTGTGTTTGCCAAAAAATTCCATTCTGGCTGATTTCTCCAGAATCGCAATCTCATGTTGCTGTCGCAAACGTTGGTGTTCAACGCCGGCCACACCCTTATACCTGGAA